ACCATAGAATGTACTACGCTGTCAGTGCATGTGGGTTGAACATGTTTCGTGGGTGAATTCCATTGGAAACATTGCCATTAGAAATTTTTCATTTCTTCGATTTGTTTATGTCATAACGAGACACTTTCTTTACATGAATGCACATTTAGATTGGGGAATAGTATAATTTTTCGTACATAATTAGCATAAGTCATGTTGAATATTGGTAGCACATTTAGCAAGTTCAGAAACAAGCTAATTATTGCCTTCAACTAATGAGTATTCGTTACTTCTACGCTCATGAACAAATGAAGAGATGTTAGGAGGGCAAAAGTAGGTAACAATTAGGAGTGGTCTAGGAAATATGCCTTCATAATCAAATTGAATTACAAGATTACTGGGTGCTCCACCTCCTAATTCCTAACGCCTACGCCAACATGTGTCACTGCAGTGGAAGTATTGTATTGAGGTACATTTCGTGCACTCAGAGTACATGAGATGCATCGCAATTTTAATTTGGCACATCTCATAGGGGCATATAAAATGTATTTTATCTGTAGTTTGCAATATGCCTAAAGTGGCAAATAAGGGCATTCACTCATCCGTACACTCTATTTGATGACACTTCACGGTTCGGTCTATTCTGCATTAACCTGTTTTACCCTACCCGGCTTGACTGGCATATGCAGCATTCTGAATCAATCTGCAAGCATTCTACTCGTATTAATTAAGTAGACCCAACTTTACTTACAAAATAGTCAATGGGTATAGCTAATTTGAATAGCCAACGAATTTGGAAAGCAAAGAGAGGGAAGAATAAGTCCCACCAATTTTGTTTAGCACATTCATGTCAGATATGGAGAAACCAATTTTACTACAATTGGCCTTACGGTTCACTTATTTGGAAAACAAACCCTACTTACTCCCAGAGATGCGTATTTGAAATTATCAAGGCGGAATTCAACCACGGATAGCACGCCTCCTGGATCATGTTGAGTAGATGTAAATAATCTTCTACCTTTTTAACTGACACATCCGAATTATGCGAATAGATACTAAGACTTCCATTTTGGAATGAGTGCGAGTTAATGTCACCATGACTTTACTTCCAAAAGTAACTTCATAGCTTGTGAACGCAGAAGTTGAGAGATTTTCAAAGGACATAGTTGGATTAGACATTTCCGCAGTCTTACTCTCTGATCCAACAACAGATTTATCAGCTCAAGTCTTTCTCTCAATCTCCATTCAAGACCTCTTTTTCAGGCACTGGCTCATCGTCTGCTATTTCACTTATGCTTTCACAGATCACATAGTTACACTTAGAAATAGACTCATAAGGACGGTGCCTTGCTTTTTTGAAATTACAACTAAAAATCGTAAAAATTCCATTTGTAGCTAATGTCTCACTAAGAAACGCGAGATTTAGGACCGGATGCTAAAGAAGAGTAAAAGGTCAATCAATGAAACAAGACTTTTATTATATTTTTTCCAACTTAAAAATCTTGTTATTGAAAATATCGTTTTTCATAAGCACGTAATTTTTTTTCAATTATAATTGGCCTCCGTTAATGGTTGATAATTTGGATCCTTGTTATTATTTGGTAGTTGGAGTGGTTCGCTCTAATAGGTATCAGGTGGCGAAGTATCGCCAAGCAGAAAATTGCCTCAATGAACGGGTTGAGACTCGAAAAGGAAAAATGCAGAGTTATCTCCAAAACCTCGACAGTCAGCCTCATTTGTGCAAGGTGAAAGAAACCAAGTACGTCGAGATTGGTGCCGATTGGCTGAACATGCTGATAAAGCAAAACCACATAGATACACGGGCGCTCCTTGAAGATATTGTTGCTATAATGGCAAAACACTGTTGGGAATCCTCATAATTTCGCATTTAATGGTAAGGAACTTTGACAATGCCATTCCCCATTATATATCTGATCTAATATTGTCTTCTTGGTTTCTTATAGATAGGAACAGTGCACCGAAGATGGGATTTCGACAACCTCGTTAATAGGACAGTTGCTCTTATGATAGAACCAATGATAACAATGACTGCAAAACACGATTACAAATGTTTACTAGGTGAAGATCGCTTCGAAATGAATGCAGGACGTGGTGCACGCCGCTATCTTTCTCGGATACCCGGAATAGCCACAAGTAGGAAGCTAGGTGACCCATTGCCTTCCGTCGATTTAGTCGAGTTGTACTCTTACATAAAGCAATACGACCTGAATTAAAAAATTAATTCTCACTAATCAGAATGTCCTGTCACTTTATGTGCATGCCACTTGCGAGAACTATTCAAACCAAAAGCCCTATCAACTCAACTTAAACTCCATTTCGTACAAGGGGCATTAGACATCCTAACGACTCAACTACCTAAAAGTTTATGGCAGTAAGCTGCGCTCGTCAAAACACAGCAACTCAAATTTATTTAACCGCTTATCATTAGTCAATGACACTATCAAACATCAACTGAAGTTGAAGCGCCATTCCCACAAGCAACTAAGTCAACTAGCTAAAATTTATAGTTTTGAAAAAAGCTCTCCAGATAGAGATGATAACTTGTCAAAACTTTTTACCAACGCTAATGAGTACAATGTTTCATTAATCACTAATTCCCAAGCCGTGGGTCAAGATAATGAAAAAAGCGCCATTGCATAGACAACCACGCTTGAGTGGATCACCACAAATGTAGGGCTTAGTGAAGTAAAGAAAGAAGAGGGGGTGGGGGAGACATCTCCCTATGATATCGAGCACAAAACTCTGTCAATTAAAAAACGTCACTTAACCGCTCCATGAGACTGACGAACTGACCGAACTCCCTTGTCTCTACCCCTACGCCGTCATTTATCGCACAACAACTGCAGACATTTTGGACCCCACCCCCTCTCAACAGGCCTTTAATGGTACATCCTGACTTCAAATTTACTAAATTGAGAACGAAAATACCCACGCCGGAAAACAGCATGACAATTATTTCGGTCAAAAATACTCGTATCGTCAACCAAGGCAACTCACAGTACAACCGATCTAACATCTTGTCATTAAACAAATAACTTCACTAGGTATTATCCATAATCCGTTTGAGCAAGATGTTCAGATTAACACCACCAGCATGAAATATGACAAATTGGCCACCGAAATCATCATGATAAGTATCAGGGCAAGACATCTAGGTCTTCATCAACGAGGACGGTGTGATTAGGTGGTCAAAGAAGGTTATGAACAAACGTTGCAAAGTGAGGTCTCCAATGGAAACTTGACAAAATCAACTATAAAATACACGACGACGATAAAACTTTTACTGATTTACCATGAAAGGATAATAGAAATCAATTCATTCACGCCATTTGCCCCAATCCAAATCCATACCTACATTTAATTTGACCTTAACCTCCATCGTATTGATATAGCGTACTTACTATATCTCAATGAACGGCTGAGTAGCGGAACCATAGAGCCACTCTCTAGAGCTATTCGTTATCCCACCAGCTAACACTCGTCAGCCTCTTGAAGGCGAGCGTCATTAAAACTTTGAACCATTGCATTCCAATCTCAGGTGTTGGACTAGCCTCGCTCAATTTTAATTGACCCAACGTACCTCTAAATTGTGTGGCGTCGTATGGTTCAATTTCTTCCAAGAGGGTCAGCAACTTTCTCCATTCCATTGGTCTCCCAACTTGGTGTCATTGACTTATTTTGAGTATGTTTTCGATTGAGAAGCAGCAAGTTGATGGTCCTGAGGGTTCTACATTCTTGACCAGCATCCACTAGTCCTCCAGTTCATGGGCAACTTCATTTACTTCTCCACGTGGTGAATCCTTTCCACCTCCCTTCCAACTATACAATTGGCTTGGCGGACGATATGCACATGATTATTTTGGGTGACCTATATGCAACTAATGGAAGTAGGCACCTTTGCATATATACGCGCCAGTAATGTGTAGCAGTGGTGGCTATCAAAGCCTCTAGTTCCCTCGTAGCGAACTTCTTTCGCAGATTGGGCTCTCTGAGCAACCAGCCAAGCATTTATCGGAGCTTCCTGTTCCTCTCCAAGTCTCAGCCTTCAAACTGGCGGGCACTACGTCTCCCCAATTCTTGTTGCAAATCGTCAAATTTTATCTGCCGGATGCTCTCTCGTTGGTTATTGAGTTTGTTATATCTGGTTCGCAGCATTTCTGATAGTTAATATTTGGTTCCCAGGGCGGCATATGTTGAGCCGTTACCCATTCCCCCCGAAGTTCGAAGACGATTTTTTTTACCGTACCCAGATGTTTGAAGTACTCTTAGTAAATATGCGTTTCAAGCTATTTCCCTTGCACTCTTTGCCATAAAGTAATCGATCGAAAAATCTTGATACATTGTCCTTGGCTTGATATGGCACATGCATATGGACGTTGTGTTCAACGTAGGGGCAACTTCTAACTGCAGGAACCTTTGCAGAGTTCTTAAACACTATTGTGGTAGTATTTGTTAGTTGTGTTTGAAACTCTTCACATGGGAAGATCCTCCTAGGATTGCGAAAACTTCACAACAAGTTGTCCAATCGATGGAGCCCTTTGTCAACCCCATAAAGGCCGTCTCCAATATGCCCTTGGAATATCGAATCTTTCATGTTGTGGCTACTTCGGGTATCCGAGGTAGAAAGCGGCGTGCACCACGTCCTGCATTCATTTCGAAGCGATCTTCACCTAGTAAACATTTGTAATCGTGTTTTGCAGTCATTGTTATCATTGGTTCTATCATAAGAGCAACTGTCCTATTAACGAGGTTGTCGAAATCCCATCTTCGGTGCACTGTTCCTATCTATAAGAAACCAAGAAGACAATATTAGATCAGATATATAATGGGGAATGGCATTGTCAAAGTTCCTTACCATTAAATGCGAAATTATGAGGATTCCCAACAGTGTTTTGCCATTATAGCAACAATATCTTCAAGGAGCGCCCGTGTATCTATGTGGTTTTGCTTTATCAGCATGTTCAGCCAATCGGCACCAATCTCGACGTACTTGGTTTCTTTCACCTTGCACAAATGAGGCTGACTGTCGAGGTTTTGGAGATAACTCTGCATTTTTCCTTTTCGAGTCTCAACCCGTTCATTGAGGCAATTTTCTGCTTGGCGATACTTCGCCACTTGATATCTATTAGAGCTATGAACCCTGTGATTTCATCCGGCATAAATTTATGGTAGACATCATCGAAGTGGCCCACTTCATGCTGCTCGAGTTTCTCTAGAAATTCCGCGTTAAAACAATCGTCATTTGACTCAATCGGAGAGGTGGTCATCACTGTGGCCCATTCGTCGGCCAATTCGGAGCCGATTAACTACATTTCTCCGCGACAGTTGAAATTTCTCAGTAACAATTTAGTGCTCTTCGCGAGTTGACTTGTATTGCACGGCTTCGGCAGCTAGGCAATCATCTAAAGTCTCCTCAATTTTACTTCAAACGTTGAAATCTGCAAGAAATATGACGCGCGTCTGGTAATCGTATTCAATGTAGATGCGACTCATTTTTGTAGGTACTTTACCACTCTTTGTTATGACGTAGGTATGGTATAGTTTCTTATAAAAGCTTGTAATTCGTGCACTGGGAACCAAATGCATTGGATGCGCATCTTTCGCGGAGAACAAAGAAGGAAGCGTGCCTTCCTGCGCTGATCCCAGGTTGGCCAGTCTTAGGGCATAGAGGGAGAGCTCATATGCTAGAATCTGGCTTGTAGAAGTCGATTCTATAATCGCTTGCACTATTGGATCTGCTGTGTTATTTGGAAGCAGAGGGGCGTGACACCGAAGGCCGTAGTCTTTGTTAAGATGGGAATAGCTCGTTCCTGGGCCGACTCCAGAGGCCCCTCCACTGTTGTACCCACACCCAAACCGAGGAGTGGCAGAGCCCACTTCTAGTTTAATTTGTGTGTCTATATATATGTCTATTCAACAATATGCTTCGTTACCATTGGTCCATCCGTTTGGTTTCAGCGGGTGATTGGTTGTTTTGAGTGCCGCGCTAGCCTGGCCTGGTTTCGGCTTACTTTACAGCAGGGGTCCGCATCTACCAACGCGGTTGTCGTTTACACGTTTTTTTGACAATATTCTTTTCTCAACCTTACTACTATAGTAACTATTGTAGGACGTCAACTCATAAATCTCTCTCCCTCTTTGCCTTAAGTATTAAAAATGTCCCTTTCTATTCGTTTAAAGCATTCAATTTGCTAATTCATAGTATAATCAAAGTATTATCGTATTTTTGGATATATTGTCTGTTTGTCTTTAGCTTGCAAAATGAAGTATCATGCCTATTTGGGGTTTCTTTGCCTTCACCGCGCTGGTCTTACTACCATGAATGTCTCGGAAATCGACTTACCTACAATTCATTCTAAGATTCTGGAAAGGTTTTTTGCTGCCTCCGAAAAGTTTGAGCTAGGAATGCTTGCTTACCTAAATGATGACAATGAGCCTGTGAATAGTAAATTATTCGTTTCTGTTAAAGTCTATGAAACCAAGGCGTCTGATTCCAGCAGGTTTGTTCCTACTTCCTCTCCCTTAGTCCGTAAACTCCTTCCTTATTTGTATAATATGTAATTAATTAACCTATTGCATTACGCTTAATAAAGTATATGCGCAAATTTTATTTATTTTAGTGACAAGAATAGGAAAAACCTAGAACCCATGAGCTAGTATATGGAGTTGGTGTCCGTGGCGAATTTCTACGCGAATAAGTCATGACTTAAACTCAGTAACTTCTATGTGGAAATCCCCTCAACCATTAGCACTCAATCCTTCAATTCAGTAATCCACAATAAATCCTCCATGATGAAGGCATCAAGCTCAGCTCCTCGTGTCACTCCATGTCTTTATAGATGAAAGATCAACGGGACTCAAGTGCATCGCATTTGCTTTTTCTATACCCAGGAGGCAGATTATATTGCCACCTTTACCCATTCGTAGGATTGTAAAGCTTTCAAGACGAATGAGACACGCTTCGATAGTCAAGAACCCTTCTGTTTATCCTCGTCTGCTTGACTACATTTGTTCACCTAAGAAATACAAGATGAGTCAGTCTGTCCACATCAAGTTAACATCAAAGCTCGGAACCTTACGTATTGGTTATTGCAAGTGCACCACATACTTCAGCGCTACTGCATGAGCAGACTGCAAGTCTCAATACTTCGAAGCAACAAACAGCAACCCAGAAGCGCACGTTTACTCATCAATTGCACTCTTTGTAATAAATGCAAATCTCGACGCATAGTCGTCAATTTCTTGCCGTCTCTCCGGCTGTGGCAGCCTCACATCAGGTTGTATTGATTGGGACATGCAATGATTCTCACAGCTTCATTACATGTACTCTAGCACTTCTTTTACCCCTTCTGCATACGCTTGAACTGCTTGTTCCAACGACATCAGTGTACACCTTAAGTAGGAAATACTGAAATTGACTCAATTTTTTAAAACGTTTTTGTATTTTTATTTTTTCCCCATTTTCACCTGACATTTTCATCTATTTTCCTTATTTGAAACCAAATGACCGTTTTAGTCTCTTTCACCACTGAGTCATCCATTCGATGCACTCCTCTATGCCTACTTTGGAAATGCGAGTGATAAACGCTCTTTGCCCACTTTGAAAGAATAATGACATAGTATGAAAGTGGATTAACTTTAGTGACATAGTAAGAGGGGCACACTTAAGATATGATGGCAATAATGGTGATTTTGATGGTGCTATAAGAGTGATGGCAATTTCTGCCAATTTGTCCCGAGAAAGTATTGCTTTATGAAATTGTCTTAGTGTTTGGAAATATTGAGTATACGTGTTATCGTGGCATTCTGCCATACGTGTATGCTTATTCAAAGCGATATGAATGTTGGCAGTCATTATATTCGTTCAATCATTGTCAATCATGCAGTAATAATTGGTGCTAGAAGAAGTTGAGCGTTTGATTTCATGTGAAGGTGAAGGATGGAAGGGAAAACCGAAACCTGGGCTGCATTGGGCGAAATAAATGCGTACGTACACTGCAACTCCGAAGGATAGGATTTACCAGCGTACGTTCACATGAAGATATGCTAGATGAATGAATGCTTGCATACACTAATGAGGCTCAAAGGCCGTAAATCTTCTTTCTCCACACCGATTCAAAACAGGTAGTCGTATTACAATTCAATTATCGGCACTCACAATCCTCCAAATCAATAATCCACAATATGTGCTCCATGATGAAGCCACCAAGCTCAGCTCCACGAGCCACTCTATGTCACTAAGGTTAGAAGTTTGCGAAAAGGCATAGCTGGATTTGACATTGACGTTGTCTTTTCCTCAGATCCTCCTACAGCCGTCTTTACTAATTCCCACTAGCAAGTAACCTGAATAGTCGAATTGAACCCTATCGACAGATACAACACCTCCTGTTGCTTGGCGAGTTGGCGGTAACAGTCGACTAAATTTAATTCTACCACATTCACATGAATTGAATGGGTAGAACTTGTTTCATTTGGGACTAAGAGTAGATTTACTGCCACCATGCCAGTATCTCATCACGAATGGTTCTAAAATGTAGTATTGACCACAAACGCTGTTTCATGAGATTTCTCCTTTGTATTTTCGTATAAACCCGGCATAAGTGTAACTGCATGTCCCGTAAAATCATTAGTTAGTAGCTTTCCAAAAATGCATAGCTGGATTAGACTTTGACGTTGTCTTTTTCTCAGATCCTCCTACAGTCTTGGCATCTCTAGTTTCTCTCTTGGGAACGTTCTCTTATATTGTTTGATCGTCTGCTCTCTCATCTCCCACATTGTATGATGATTACAGAAGAAAATATTTATCCATTTAATACATTTGAACAATTACTTTTATTCTAGGCGATGCACGAATACTGAAGCCATCTTCTTCTATGTCATACTCATCAGTGGACGATCTTCGTGGAGTTTGGTAAATCAACTCGACACCCTCTGGTATTTCAACTGAACAAACATTTTTATATTTTTATATCAAATGGCAGACGACCAATTACTCAATATTATTTATATTTTTATATCAAATGGCAGACGTTTTGATAGTTATCATTAGCCCTTTAGTTGACTTCAAGCTTCACAGATGGGAAGGAACATCAAAGTGAAAAAATACGAGGTAGAGAAGAAAGTAAGATGAGTATTGTTGAAGTGGTAGAATATGACATGGAGTCGAGTCATGGTAGTTTGAAGTCAGAAGTCAACTGCCGGTTAATTGAATTTTTTGCCGTATGAGTATACGTTGCCCGGGGTGCACCACGTGGAGGAAAGTCTATCGCACACTCCTAGAGCAAACACAGAAACTATATCTTTTGAAAAGCTCGCGCAAATGACAAGCACACAAAGTGGCAGGACATTTAGGTATAGTGCTCCGTATGAGTTCGGACGATATTTGTTCATTCAATGTATACTGCTTTGCACGAGAGTACAGTGCAGCACGATCTATTGATGTCAAAAATGCACCGAGATCTTCATTTGTTGTTCCTATCATAAGAATTCGTGATAGGAATCTTCTAGCATCATACTTGACATCAATTTCCAACCAAGTAGACACTTGCAGTCATTCTTTATGATCATTGTTATTCTCGGCTCTTCCATCAAATTTAGTGCTCTATTGAGTAAATTATCAAAGTGAAATGCAGTTTGGTCTCCACGACGACAGACTGTGCCAAGCTATAAGGATCAAAGACAATGTTAGGTCTAGTACTGAAGGATAATAAAACTATCAATGTTCCTTACGGTCAGATGGGGAGTTATGAGATTTGCCAGAAGTGCCTTCCTTGTGTTTGTGTGCCCTTTGAAGCAGAGAGTACGTTGGTAGTACGTTTGTCCATTATGTTGATGATATCTTTTAATAATTGATTGATATCAATGACATTTTGGCTTAACATCATCATAGGTCATTTTGTATCAATTTCAACGTCTTTGAGATTTTGGCGGAGCATTAGTGAGGAAGACAGTATAGGTTGTCAAGATATGAATGATTAAGTTCTTTAAGTCTCCGTATTAAGACTCAGAATTTGCTGTTTGACGATTTCTCATCATTGAACGCCAATGGACGAATTAAAATTTGCTATTCTCTGAACAGAAAATAACCTGAAAATGTCGTCGAATTGCAGAACCTTTCGAGCTTTCAATTCGTTTAGGAATTCTAGTTTGCGTTTACTTCTCTAAGTGCTGCATGACTTTTTTGTTCTCCCACTACGTATATCTGATAAACAAGGATGTCTTGACTCGACTGGCAGCAAGTCAAAACAATGGAGGTTAAAAATGTCAAAATAAATGTAGGTATGAACTTGGATTGTTGCAAATAGCGTACATCATAACCTTCTTTGATCACCTAATCACACCGTCCTCGTTGATGAAGACCTAGATGTCTTGCCCTGATACTTATCATGATGATTTCGGTGGCCAATTTGTCATATTTCATGCTGGTGGTGTTAATCTGAACATCTTGCTCAAACGGATTATGGATAATACCTAGTGAAGTTATTTGTTTAATGACAAGATGTTAGATCGGTTGTACTGTGAGTTGCCTTGGTTGACGATACGAGTATTTTTGACCGAAATAATTGTCATGCGGTTTTCCGGCGTGGGTATTTTCGTTCTCAATTTAGTAAATTTGAAGTCAGGATGTACCATTAAAGGCCTGTTGAGAGGGGGTGGGGTCCAAAATGTCTGCAGTTGTTGTGCGATAAATGACGGCGTAGGGGTAGAGACAAGGGAGTTCGGTCAGTTCGTCAGTCTCATGGAGCGGTTAAGTGACGTTTTTTAATTGACAGAGTTTTGTGCTCGATATCATAGGGAGATGTCTCCCCCACCCCCTCTTCTTTCTTTACTTCACTAAGCCCTACATTTGTGGTGATCCACTCAAGCGTGGTTGTCTATGCAATGGCGCTTTTTTCATTATCTTGACCCACGGCTTGGGAATTAGTGATTAATGAAACATTGTACTCATTAGCGTTGGTAAAAAGTTTTGACAAGTTATCATCTCTATCTGGAGAGCTTTTTTCAAAACTATAAATTTTAGCTAGTTGACTTAGTTGCTTGTGGGAATGGCGCTTCAACTTCAGTTGATGTTTGATAGTGTCATTGACTAATGATAAGCGGTTAAATAAATTTGAGTTGCTGTGTTTTGACGAGCGCAGCTTACTGTCATAAACTTTTAGGTAGTTGAGTCGTTAGGATGTCTAATGCCCCTTGTACGAAATAGAATTTAAGTTGAGTTGATAGGGCTTTTGGTTTGATAGGCAGTAGAAAATCATCTGATATGTTGAACTCTCTTGACATGCAATTGAGCCCTAGCAAATAAATTTTCTTACTCATTGAAACAACACCGTTAAGATATCTGCACTGCGTTGGTGTCAATGTAGGTCTATTTTCCGTGTCGGGTACATGATCCAGTACTGGGTGGAAGTAATCTTCCAATTCTGACTCCACGATCATATTTCCATGTGGGAATACCATTTCAGTCGGTTAATACAGGCTTTTTTGAAAGGGTACTTGTAGGATTTCCATCTTATTAATTCCAACTACCATGTACTTTGACTTGTTGAATTGAACCCTACCAACGGATACAACACTTCCGGTTGCTAGACATATAAACGGTAACAGTAGACTCAATTTAATTATACCTAATCTAAATGATACGAATAGATACGACTTTTCGGTTTTGGATTATGTGTAGACTTATTGTCACCATGTTAGTGTTTCATGCCATAAGGTTCGAGAAGATAGTGGTTACAGAAAAGTAGTTTGTTGAGACTTTTCGGTCATATTTTCAAATTAGCCAGGTACCGCCACCATGAATCTATTTCTAAATGCAACAGTATTTCCTGAAAAACCACAAGTCAGTATTTTCCCAAGAGACATATGTATCGATTTAACCATCAATGTGGTAATTTGATTTCATAGTTAAAATGTCTAGTGCATTGTACCCCTGTTTCATCCCTTCCCTCTAACTGTCCAACAGTAGTATTACCCTTCGTGTGATTGTAGCAAGAAGGGCAAATCAGAATTAACCCAATCGACCATCAGGGGTGTCTCTTCCATTTAAGCGTGTAACACATTTACGCCTATCCTTCTTCTCTTCATCTTGAGTTAATCAGCATTTGGACATGTGTGTCCCTGAGTAAAGCATTTCAATGAAGTTTGGAAATAGAATGAATCAAGAATTTGGGTGATAGTCGAATTGTGAAAGTAGCCTTAAAAGTCAATGGTGTATATGAAAAGGGAAATTTTCACTTCAAGAACATGATTATTTGCAATATAAATTCAAGTCCTTTAAAGTTAAAAAAATCTTGTTTAACAGTTTAGGATCAATGGAAAATGTGCCTGCTCTAACAGAAATTGTGTTTACCGAAGTATTTCCTCTACTAACTGGGTCTAATGAATCAGGAATTTAGACTAATGTGTGCCATAAATGTTTTATCCTTGAAAATGATTGAATCAAAATATCCTACAAGGGCAATATTCCAATCAGACATGACACGAATTTAAATTGCTGCTCTCATTTGCTACAGGTCCAAATTAGAGACCGATTGCACACTAACTGCCCGCCTCTAATTTTAATGAGCTGTCAAACTGACTGCGTCTCCACTCCCCCCCCCCCCCCCCCCACCTCCTTCTGAAATTATAATTTTGCCTATATTCATCAGAGCTAGGCGTATTGGTTAGTCTTAATGTAAATAGACCTTGAAGAAATCCTTAAAGGCGAGAAATATATATTTTGTTAGTTATCAAAGTACATTGCACATTGTCCTTAATGCTTAATTTTCGAAACTAAAATCGCTTTTAAAAATAATAAAATTATCATTTAAAGGAAAATGGCTTACAAGAAACTGAAAAATCTACATGTGTAGATATTTTGGCATATAAATATTCTACTAAATACTTTTAAGTAACAACTATTTATAAAGAGCGAAGCAAAGGCTTGATATTCATTAGTTGTAGCCATTTCAAATGTATATATATATATATATATACAGACTGTAAACAAATAAATTAAGAACTGTTATTCGAAGCTTATGGTAATAAATTACAATTAAATATTAAAATAAAACAGGCAACAATTTCACACGTTGTTGATTGATAAGGAAAAATATATATTTTCAATAAATTTTCATCTGCAGAACTGAAGCAAATAAGTTTTTGGGCCTCACTTAGTCGTTTTCTCGTTCCTTATTAAGGGTAAATTTATCTTAGCGGTTTAGTGCTTTGTATTTGGACACCTTCTGTCAAGCCAATACTCACTACCGCTTCTCCAACCAATCAAAGCGGAAGTCGTTCTTGGAAAAGGAGTAGGTGATGGTAAAATGTTCAAAATGGATCTTGAATTTTCTCTTTTTAATTGAGGAGTTAATATATCTTCAGTTTTTAGACTGTTTCTATTAATAAGAGTTGGTATTTCGTCCTTGATAATATCAGTCAATGGTCCTACCATATAACCATACTTTTCCTGAAAAACTTCCCTCGCTCTATTTTCTTTTTCAATTGTAGCTTTCAATAAAGCGTCTTTGGCCACCTGTGTAAAATTTGAGTCACTGTTCATAGCTTTTTTGTGAATAGGTCAAACCAAGTGGAATATTTATATAGTGCGAGCAATGTGTTATCAACAATAATATTTAAAACAAATAAAAGTTCATTCATTTTGAAACTGCATTAAGCTCAGAATATTCTATATTTAATAATATTTCTATTTTAAATATTATTTTAGCATTGTATATTTGTCATTCCTATTTTATTATTGTATTATTTTACCATGCCCTTTGATTTCTAGAAGCCATTTCGAAACGTGGAGTAAACTTTAGCAAAGATAATAAGATAACTTAATATAAAATGATCTTATGTACACAAACGGAAGCATGAATGCGCAATCATCAGTTTACATGATAAATAGCAGCCCAAGGGGTAATAATACAAACCGACAAAGTTTTAGTTTTGATGTAGAGGAAATAGTTGGAGCATCTAGCCAATGGCTACCAATTTCCATATTTTCAGCATTATCTAAAATGAAAATCGGCTGTTTTGAGTCTATTTGTCGAAAATGTGCACATTTTTATGAAGATATACATACTTGACACCGTAGAATACAAAATTGTATTAATAAATTGTGGTCTCAACCCTTGGATCGATTTCGCGGATTTGAGTTTGGGAACCATTAAGGGGCGCTCATCCAGAATTTTTGCGTATGGTTTACCAACCATAAGATTCATGAAAGCATTTTTAATCTCGTGCCCGGCATCACGGTAAGCAGAGCTGATCTAAAATATCACGGAGAGTACCATTTTATGATTAGTAATATTTATTTCACTCAGCTACTTAACTCATGCAGACGTCCATTAATAACGCCATAATTAGAGGACAACGTTACCATTTAATACTAGTGGTATGCAACTGCACACCACTTAATCAATATCTAATAGAAATGATAGGTTGGTTCCACTTTTGGTATTAAAGAGGGCATTAATAGATTCATGTCAGAATGGGTTTTTCTTTGGTGTTCACGAGTTAACTAACTTACCAAAAATTACTGACATTATCCAAAACGATAGCTTGGCTTGAAATCTGTCTCAAGTTTAGCAAATAAGTCTACTTACTTAGTTTAAATACTTAAATTCCCTCCGTTCAAAAGATTAGTTGATTGATTTGACACTATTCAATATTGGATTTATTTGCTACTAACTTTGCCGAGTGAACAATTATACAAAAGGAAGTAGAATTTCGAATACTTGTAACGCATATTCCACAAAAGGAAACCAGTAATTCCTACAACGAAAGTTATGCTCAAATTAATTTATGTTTAAGGCCAAGTTAGTGTTCAATATGTCTCATCTTTTTCCACTTGTTAAATAATCAGTTCATTGAAGAGATCCAATGACAGATCCAATGACAATCACAGAAAACTTGAGTCGCTTAATAAAGCATATGGACAAATTTGATAGAGAGGTAAAGAATGGACGATATATGCAACATTGCACTTATTTATCACTAATATTTAAATAAATAAAGTGTCGTTAGTATTAAAGTCGGACTATGAGCAAATTAGATTATCCTCGCTAGTTTATAGAATGAATCTTCAATATTGCAAAAATGCTGATTGTATTTTTACCTCATTTGATAAGTCCTGTCGGACATCTGTCATAAAAGATGAGTGTTAGCACTGAATCTCTTCACTACCTGAAGTTGGTGAATGTGATTAACTTGAGTGTGCAATGGTAGGTATCGAGATCGTGGAATTCAATTACAAAGAAAAGATTCGAAAGTGCGGAGATCGAAATTAAAGTTCCCTCTCCTAGAAAATTAATGCTTTCGCAGAAATTTGTCCCAAAATGTCTCTCAAACGCTGCAATTTTCCTTTTCGAAATACATCAAGTTGTCAAATCAAACAATGTTGCATTATTTTCTCCTCCAAAAAACACTGTTAATTAAATTAAATTGATGACTTGGTGTCATGAGACTATTTAGAAGTGAAGACTGCAGTGATAGTCGCTTGTACTGTTGAAAGCCCTAACAAGGAGGGGGTGGGGGGGGGGAGGCGGTAGATATGGATCTCTGTTTTATTAAAATCATTTTCATTTCTGATAAACATTAGAGTGGCGAATAACTAATTTAGTACTAAAATAAGGTTAACTTACATCACGGATAGCTTCGACATGATAAATCAAACTATCTTCTTGTTCACCCTCTGCTGAATCTTCATCCTCCACTTCTTCCTCAAAGTCAAATATCGGCTCCCTAAATAACAATAAATAATAATAGCATAAGTTCTTCCATCACAAATAAGGCAAACAAATATTAAAAGACAATGAAGATATTTTAAAACCAAAATCCAGCGCACAATCTATTAATCTAAAGTGAAGTGTTTTTGTTAATGGGTGCTTTTGACCAACGAGGCGACTACTTGAAGGTGATCAGAGCGATAAAGGTCAGATTAACATGTGACCCTAACCTTGTCGTCTTACTTTACCGGAACAGTTTCGAGGTGCTGGTGGACATCCGTGGCGGGAAAAAACATAATCAGAATTAGGCTGACTTGTGTTTGCCCCATGTTCTATATGTACACTGGCATATAACATGCTCAAACGTATTTTTAAATGACTCGACTTATTTAGAGAGGCAGGTTTACGGAATCTCTCTGATAGGAAGCTTGAATTTCCCTGCCTCCGTCAATTGACAGACTTTACTAGTGCAATTTGTCGTTCTTTTCACTAGAGATGTGAAGATGATCACTGAATCATTGATCGCTGACTTTTCTGCCGACATTATTAACCACCACAAAACCGATACATTTATATATCCTATGATGTGAGATAAATCACTACGAAAACGCCTGTAAAGTGATTGTCGATGAACGTTGATCTGATTGGCAAATTGGCCTGAGCGGATCTTGCAGATGAATCAGCTGCAATTTCTGGGAACTACTTACAAGTGGTTTAATTTAGCAATAGATACGGGTTAGAAGCAATGGGAAATCGAAGCATAAAAAGCCCTACTCTATATCTCCCGTTTTCTCTACTCCATCTAACTCTACTCAGCTTCACGGAATGACTAGTTAGATGACTAAAAATGAGCCACGTCACGTAACAAGTGTTGTCAATCGGGGAGGGGGGGGGGGCATTGAGAGAGAAAGAGAGCATGTAAACAAACTTCGTTTTGATTTGCCTTTTTGCGTATTAGAGCCAAGCAACACCATAGATTCGCTCCAGGAGTCTTTCTCCACAATGTCGGTCACACCAACAGACACTCATTCACGCATTCAATGTAAACAAACACCCCTAGAGAGAGGGAAGAAGGGATTAGGGAGTCCAGGGTGGTGGGGGGGGGGGGTTTTGCGCCATTGTTTGTGTCTGTGAGTGGGTATACCTCCATGGGTGTGTCTTACATATGAAAATGGTAATTTGATCGGTTTCAAAACATGTAGTTTGTAAAAGAGTTGGAGGTGGGGTGGTGTTACGGTGGCCAGCTGTATGAATCATAACTTTTTCATTGACCGCACCTTCTGTTTAAACTTAGAAACCTTGAATCCAGGCAAGATATGGTAGTATGATGTAACAGAACACTTCTAGGACGTTCCGCCCTGTTATTCAAATATCCATGAATGAATTATGAATCAGCATGCGATAACTAGCCTCGAACTGAAACTCTTTTAATAAATTCAAATTGCCCGTATTCAACTATTTGTTGCAAATTTTTCATTTGTCTCCGTAAAAATACAGACTACAGTTTTTGATGAATAGAGATTTGCCTCGCCTATGCTTTTAATTCCTCTAAAGCAGTCACCAACATATTGATGAACCACATTTGCTTCAAGCGAAGCCAATTTAGTTATACCTCGTTTATCAAATTGGGCACAAGCAGGTCAATACCATTTAAATCCTATCATTTCCCCTATCATCGGTAACTTTCTCTCGGTGTAGTCCCTAAAGTGTCTTTGAGAAACATTGAATAGTCCACTGTGAAAGAACAGCATACCTGTGGCAACCATTTTCTGGCAGTCCAATATCACATCGAAGCAACTGATCAAGTATGAGCATTACAAGTGAAGGAACTTTAAAACTGTCTATTTAGGACGCAATCATATTGACAACAATTTCTAATCAACCGTTTATCGAGAATTCCTCATAAGTGTTTGTCTTTGAGATGTCGCACACGTTAAACCCGTTTAAACATTTGTATAAACTACACACTCGCCAGTCCTTCTAAAAGGTCAACCAGTCTGAAACTTATAGGTATCAAAAAACAACAACAACAGCAACAACACCGAAACACTTGTAAAATCCCCAGTATTGAAGTAAATGTGTGTCATATCAATTTTGGCCTGTCCTCATGCAATCATGACTAAAAACGGCATCAACAAACATCCGTTTTACTATAAAAATAGTTAAATTATAACTTTTCGTTTATAAAATCCACAGGTGTGCTTTATTATGAATAAATGGTTCGGTCCACATTTTATGTTTTTGAAGATATACCTTTATAAATTTAGGAATTTAGGAATCACCGTCTTGACTTGGATCTTTTAAATAATGAAACACGACAAAATGAATCACACATGTGTAACAAAAAGTGGGCAAGCTGTCAGCGAAATTAGGGAAGACTCGTATGATCGTCGTTGTTCTTCATGTCCAAGGGCTTATTTTCTGGAATTCGAATTTGTACTTCTGCCTTCTCGCGGATAAAATTACATTACATCTCAAATATTCCACATATTATTTTAGTTGGGTATAAATATACCAATCAGGATAATGGACAACCACGATATAGCATTTCTTGTACATCTTCCACTTGTGCACTCTTGTCAAAAAAACTCAAAACCAGGTATTTAAATATAATATAACTGTCCATTCTAAAGTACGCGTTGAAAAACATAGAAATTTGAGATACGAACGACCTCGTGGTGAATCTTAGTCTACGGAGCTGGGCAGTTTTGTTAAGCATCGATTGAGCAAGTCGAAAATGTCAAAAATTCCACGTGTAGTATCTGGTTTCCAAAAGTATATAAAGGCAGCATCCGCTGGTTACGGCAATTTTAGGCTTAATTTAAAACCATTTAGAAAGTTCAAATTGGATGAAACATACATTTGTTCAAAACACCAACTGAATGCTTCGAACTCGCACACGATCTGATCGAAATCAACAAAACTCCAAAAGTGGATAGTAAAACATTACGCAAAATGTGTAATCTGGTTGCAGTTGCATTTTTGCCAAATTTTATAGAATTATGAGCTGGATTTTTACGAACCCATGTCATGAGGAAAAAAGTCAGATAATCGAAGTGTGTGCAGCACAACAAGCGAGTGATTCCGAAGTTGAGGCGGTTAAATCCACTTTGATACCAAGTCGATTATTACGATTAATTTTAACTAGGACGTCTACCCAATTAACCAAGTCGGATCTTTCTTGAGGTTCTAGATCAGTGTGCCTGGAAAATTTTGAAGTTTCCGCGATGAGGATGCCTTCCAATAAATTTTGTTCTCTGCGCTTCACTCGACAAAATTTTATCAAGTTTTGCTCGCAAACAATTGTCGATTTTGTGACGGTGTTTCCTCATTTTGCCTTTCAATTAATTTGGTAGTTGAGGTTCAATATGGAGTTCCTGAATTTGGCGAGCAAAATCCCTTAGCTGAGGCGCATTTTTCAACGAATGGTTTTGCAAGATTTTAGTTATAATAGAACAATTCAACTAATTTTTACGACCACTAAATGCCTCAAATCACTTTCGGCGTACTCCATATTGGGCGGTCGCCTAGTACCAAAAATTTTGAAGCCCAGAATATAATTAACTTTTTTTAAACCATCTGTGCATAGGTGGCCGTCTTGGGTGTTGTGTTTAAGGTGCCAATGAAGCGCTCTGTCTAAAATTCAAATTATCACCCATGATAGCCTTTGAGTCAGAGTCCTTTAGATGAAACAATAGCGCAAATTCCGAGACTAGTTGAGAAATAGTTTTTAAGTACTTTTAGTTAACGATAATACCGAATTCTCTCTCGCCCCTTTTAGGATATTAAAAGATTTGTTGAATTATTCTTCATAATACGAACCGGACGAGGTTCGGACAAGGAATATTATTGAAATCACAAAGATGCAAAATATTATTGGTGTCTTTACTGAATTCTCTTTAAAAGTAGAATCTACTTGTTTTCTAAAAACGATTCTTGAATCATAAAAGGCAGACCTGCATTAGTCCAAATTAGTGGGCAAGGATTTTCAATAGATATCCTACTAACTTGCCTATTGAAAAATGTGTTCAACGTAATTGACTAACCACCTTAATAAAACAACTATTCCACATGCTGGAATTCCTTCAAGTTAATTTGCTCAATATATTGGTCAATAAATCCTTAACTACGCACAATCAAGCATTGTAATATTGAGCAGTAGTGTTTGAGAAGTAAAATACACATTCTGAAAACAAAAAACTGCAATTCCAAAAATCCTAATTTATCCTCTATCTCTTGATCCAAACTTGGAATATTTCAAAATTTCTGGAGTTAAAAAGCCTTTCCCGAGCAGAAAATCGTTCACCTTACCATGGGTGAAAACAAATGCAATTTTGCCACTTCATTGGGAAATTCTAACTTGAAAGGAGACAGTTGTCAACTTATTGTTAACATAATATAAATGATGTTTAATGTAGCCCAAATTAAAAAGTTGCTTTAATAGTTATTTTCAAAAGATGGCAACAGATCTAACTTACTCTGCTTCAAATGCATTTCTAATCTTCTTTTTCGGAGGGTCGCAGATTTGGCTGTCGACAAAATCTGCAATTTCTTCAATCTTCTTCATATATTCTCGCGCCTTATCCAGATAAATTTTAGTATTCTTCATCAAACTATCTAATTCTCTTTCCAGATCTGAAATTCCAATGGTTGGTTTCTCCAGTTCCAGGAAATTATCATCGAGTTCCACGATTGGTTGGTCTGGGATTTCTGCCACAACCTGACATTGCTAAAAAGGGAATACTATTAAAATTAATTGACACTTGACACTTGAATAGGTCCTCCAAATTTGAAAATATTGTGGGTGGGAACGAAGAGTTCTTGAAACTCCATTTTGAAAGTTGGTGAATTCTCTTCGATTACAACATTTCTAATTTCAAAAACACCTTCCTTCATTTTTGCTCCCTTCCTACAACAAGAGTTATTAGTGACTATCCAATCATATAAAACCTTAGCTAATAGAATGCTGAACAGAGAGATCCATCAGGTCATTATTATCGACTGGATGCCAAAAATAAAGGAGTGAATGAAAAAAGGAGCCTATTGGCTATCAATTTCACTTATATTGAAGAGGACAGAATGTGAAATACAGAAGCTTCTGGCCTGAAATGGCAAAAAATTTTCGACAAGTCTAGTAAACATCCATTAATTGATTATCTTTCTTTAACAAAGTCATAAATGGGGATATGAACCTAGCTTTCAATTTTACGTCCGCAGGTTTGGAATTGAGGTTAGAATAGGTCAAGTTTTAAATAGCAATTGACGTTTTATCCGTGGATTTATAAACAATTGAAAAAAATGAATGACATTAAAAATATCTGTCAGATCTAACTTAGTAAATGAATATGAATGATTATCGTAGGCATCAATTTAATGGTCAATTGGCCCAATCTTCCTGAGGTGCTTTACACTAAATACTTGTGGGAAATAGCGAATTTCAGCAGACTGAGTCTCTAAAGAAAAAATGGGTCAATGGCTGCCAATGAAATTTTCGTCTTCTTTCATGGTATGGGAAGATGATTTATCTTCTCGCATTTTCGATAATAGGCTGACCGTGATTGAAAGTTATTTTCCTTTTAAATTGACACTACATCGTGAAGAAGCTCTCTAACAATTACTATTTTAGAAGTATCTAAAGTACGGCCGGAAGAGAACCCTACGAGTTCAAAGATTCGGTCTTTTGATTAACAACAAGAATTGTAATAAACTTTTGGTGGACAGTTCTCTATGTTTTAGGCACCGATTCAAAAGGTATCTCTTGGAATATTGAAATTAGTCATTAGCGTTAAAATGATTTCGAAGCGCTATTCATTTAATGAGTTATAGAGAAAAGCCTGACAATAAAGGAACACTTACTTGACCTATAAAAAGCGTAGTAATTCAAGCCTACTTTAAGGCATTCTTTCTTTGAAAATTAGCCTATGATGAGATATAGATGATTATGTATTGATTCACTGAAAGGGTGTGTTTGGCCTGCCTCTGATTATCTTAAACAAATCAGATTTGAGCAAGATCTGTACCTAACAGTCAAACATGTCGTCATACTTACTAAAACTCGAGCGAGGTATTTGCTGGTTATGTTGCATAACACTTTTCAGCTGCGAGTATGAAGTTCAATTTAGCGACTACCTGTAATTTAAATGAAACTGGCAACTTTTGGAAAGCCTAAACCGTGGCCCCTATTGGAGATTCAAAGCATATTTTGATGTCATACTTGAAAGTCGGATGCGAGGTCATCGGTCGATAAACTTCCAGAAACTCACATGTGCCTATTGAGCAGGCCGACTTCCTCACTTGTTTGAAACCTGCGACTATAATCAAATGAGATTGGCACAAAATCATATGAAGGCAATTAAGTGAAGAAGAAATTCATGAAGAGGTGTAATGAAGTTGATGATGCATAGACCTCTTGGTTTCTCCACCTTTCTTCTTTTTCGTGCTATGTAAACTATTTGAGTGTTTCCATACGCTTAGACGTTTCCCAGTGGTGACATGCTGTATAACATAGCCTGCTTTGTGATGGGAAAAGTTATCCAAACTGATTTGATGGAGTGTTCCAGAAAAATCTAATCACCAATGGAGGGTGGTTATGCCACTTGCTAGATCTGAAAGAGTGAATCTGAATTTAAATAAATTGGTGCACAGGAAAACTTATTTTGGACTTTCCTTCCAGATAAAGAGAGGAGAATAACATCGTTCGATGTGTGCCACCCATGAAGTCCGTTGTCTACTCCATTTATCACGACACTAGTAGCCAAGTGACAGTAAAATGTGACAGCCATTTTACTCTACTTAGTTCCAACCTGGACATAACACAGACACGTTCGCGAGACAGGATGAACTTGGTCCAGCAATTGCTTTTGATAAGCCGCGACAGTCCAATTATCTAAACACACCATCTGAAAGTAAGCGTCTGGGCTAACCGTGGTAGGTAGAGGAGGGGGTGCGGGGTTGACAACCCTTGAGTCATAATGGCGCATCCGAATTATTATGACGATTCAATTATAACAAATGAGAAGGATATTCAACGATTTAATGAATGGATTTGTATAATTGCACAAAATGTGGTGAAGAAATGGACGAGATTGTAAGGTCCGCCCATTTCTACTTTTTTTAACAAAAAGGACCCAAAACGTCCCGCTTTTGTAAAACTAGTCTTTGAAAGAATTGAATCTAGTTGAAAGTGAATGCTACTTGAGTGATAAGGTTGTATTTAAAATATTTGACCAAAGAAAGCAATAATTGAACAAATTATTGGAATTTGGCTTGAGTTTATTAAGTGTTTTTGCAATCACTGTTATAACAAGTTAATTCAATGATTACTTAGTGACAAAAATGGTCATATATATTAGATCCCACCTCCCCCAACCCCCCCCCCCCCACTTCCATTCATTTTTTCGGTACTTTTTGATGAAAGAATCGATCAAATAACGAGGTCTTGACAGAAAAATAGCTAACAGGTTTTGATCATATTTGCCTAATGCTTTTATTTATTCACAAGGAGTTGAAATTGACGACCCCAAACCTACAAGAAGTCTGAGTGTTTTCCTCATACGAATCTTTGAAAGTGAAACATATAGAAAGAAGGATCACGTTAACTTTTTTAAACGTTTTCCATAAATCCAGTTACTTGTTAGCCGAAGAAAATAAACACTCGCGATCAACTAAATTTAGAACGATGACCTATGCTATCTCTGCAACTAGTGGTCATTTCAGTTGACCAAAACTGTGAGCCTCATTCTTTAGGTAGACAACATACTTGGATAAAAGTAGAAAGACGAACAGAGTCTATATTCAGACTGATTACATTATCGATTCAAACTAGGTACATAGGACAAGTCAAACGCCAACAGTTTGATACACCTTGGTCTGACAAAACCAGACTGACCTTCAGTGGAAACTAAACTTCCAAACTGCTTAAGCTAATGGGTCTAGTCAATTATGTCATGCAATTGTGATTAAAACATGTGCAAAGCAACAACAACTTCTAATCTGGACCACCAAGGGAACATTCTGATACAGCATTGATTTGTAATATTTTTATTGATGAACCCACCCAAATGCTGTTCACTGATGCAACTAAAAAGGAGTCGCTTACCCGATCAAGATCATTTATTGCCGTTTTCGAATTTAAAAAGTTCAATTAATTCGTTTCATACTAATCAATACATAACTTGAATGAGTAAAATTATGGATAGGTAGTTTAAGTTTCTCTCATAGTTTTCAATAAAGCAGGCATTAATCTGCTGTTCGGAAGACAGTAAATTGAAGGAGTCAGTCAGTTATTTTTATTTATAAACAAAAAACGCTTAATTCCGATTATAAATGTTTCAGGTTGTAGAGCACAATAATCTGCCTTACTCAAACACACATACATTATTCATTATTCAAATATTATTATAACATCATGACTTTGAACTGCGCACATCTCATGACAAACTGTGTAATGCACAAATTGTAATCATAGTACACAATAATTTTATTATTTATGTTTGGACGAAACAAATTTTGGCTTAGGTAATCTCTGCATGCACCAATCACACAATCAGTAGCTGAGTCAATCAATTTGTAAGTGCTGTAAGTGACATCATCAATCTGAATGAAGGTGTCTGTGGTGATCTATGTGTTTACTTCTCAAACACATTATACTTTCAGTATGTCATGAACTTTTATATGATTGAATAGGTTGCTAATGGTTCTCACCTTCGATTAAATCTTATTCAACTGCATCTAGATCGAAAGCTGGAACCGATCCACCAGCTACAGATCATGTAACTGTCATTATAACCAATACACATGATATATGGTGTCCATCTGATTGATCGTTTTATATTTAGCCCACTAATTATTGGATTACTATTAAACAATGGTGCTGATATTTAAATCGTTGACTATTATGCAGCTATTTTTGAATGCAAATTGTTTAACCTATTTTTAGAAAAATATTTTGCTCAATTAATTATATTTCAATCTCAAGACTTTATAAATTTGCATTTTTTGCTTAAAAAAGAAAAAGTAAATTTTCCCAAGAAGATTAAAAACTGAAACGTAAAATTTCTCCCCCTTTTGGTATCAAAAAAGGTCTATAAACTGACGGTTGACTTCTGACTTCAAACTGTCATGACCCCACTGTATGTCGTATTCGACCACTTTCACAGTACTCACCTCTCCTTTTCGCCTACCTTCGTGTCTGTTTCTTTGGCATCTGTGAATCACTCTTCTGTTCTCCCCTCTCGAATTTTGTGACTTTGATGTTCCTCCCCTCTGTGAAGCCTGAAGTCAACTAAAGGGCTAATGATAACTATCAAAACACCTGCTATTTGATATAAGTGAATAAATAAATCTTCATAAACCCCCAGTGCCATCGAATCTCTACAAAGAAGTAAAGGCACAAACGTATTGGTCACAGTCAACCCACAGCTCCTTCTTTATTTGCAAAGCGTAATGCCAATGACTAGGTTAGTACACGGAGGATAGAATGAACCCAGAGAAAATCAAATTTGAAAATGTAAATATTATGATACTTTCGGTGTTCTGATGGAGTATGATCCTCCTGAGGCCCAAATACCCTCTTCCCCTCTTCTGATTTTCTTTAACTTCTCTCATTCGAGATCACATGATTATTTATGATTTCAGATTGAAATTTTGAGAATTTTGTCAGTGCTTGTAACGATGAGAAACAGTCCTAAGATGGAGACGTTTGTAATGAATTTTAAAATGTTTACTGACAACGTAGTTTTTCAGGGGTTATTTATGCCAACAAAATGTAAAAGAAAAAGATGCTTATAAATGCCAACTTTTGGTGATTTAAATTTCATTGAATGAAAATAAGAATTTACGTTAGTTCCTAAGTACTTCTACTTCGTTTGGTGAATTGTTTTGGATTAAATTTATCAAGTGGCGATTCAATCATTAAAATAACAAAAGTTTGCTTTACGACATCATAGAATTTCAAACTCGACTTATCAATGGACTTGAAAAAAAAATCATATGAATTTGGGTCAAACGGTATTGTATTCCCGACCGGAAAATGAGTTACCCTTCCCCCCCCCCCCACCCTCACCTTCCTTCCTTGTAATTCGAGAAACGTTCAGCGTTCACTTGAACTTTCACCCCTTCCTCCCAGATTAGATGTCTCGGTTATTTTAATCTCAAATTAACATGCACTTTTTAGGCCTGAGCTAAATTCAAATGACATGCTTGGCCATGCTTGTCTGTCTTATAAAAGGACATAGATACAGAACTCAGATAGGAAGATTGAATAAGTCAATTCACGAATAAAGAACTAAATATATAGTCGAGGAATTTGAAAGATGCTTTCCTGAATAGAAATAATCTAAACTGCAGATTTGGGCAAAATCAGTTAAAAGGATGAAATTCTAAATGAAGGAGCACCACCAACACCTAATGAATACTACCACCAAATATCAAATGAATTTGTGCAATGCAGAAATTTCGAAAAAGACGATTGTAAACCTTTGCAACGAAAATTAGTGTTTGATAAAATTTTCAAAAATTAAAACTCTGGTTTGACCAAAATAGCTTAATATGTGCTTTCTTATATTAAAAGAGGATTCATTTCAGCTCCTTGGGTCATAAAGTCAAAAGCTCTGAGGCTCGCAGAATTTTCCTTTTAGATAATATAAAATTGGAGCTTATTTATTAAATGAACCAAAAAAATGAATGCAGTTTCATATAGTTATCATAAGCTAGTAAAATTCTGAAATCTCCAACTGCTAGTCTCGCATTGGTGATTTCCTCTATCAAGGCTTATTAAGCAGTAAGATTGATAATTTCTGAAAATTTAGCCTGGAAGCCTAACAGCGGCCGCTTCAAAGAAGAAAACAGATTTTACTCACCTCCTCAATTTCGTTAATGGTGGTCATAGTGATGGATCCCAGGGAGTCATCCACATACTTCAAAACTGGATTTGGATTGATGACTTCCTTTATCAGGTGAGCAACGTGATCCAATTCTTGGCTTTCATATATTGCTACATCTGAATAGAAGTCCACTGGTCCAAGGCATATGTCCACCAGATTGTGGCAGTTTGTACCAAATAGCGAACTGGGGTCTTGAAAATCTGCTTCAACGTAGTAGTTATTCACCGTGGAATTAATAATGAAGCACTTCGAGTGGAGTAGAAGAAGTCCTCGATGACAGAGCATTGGATTTCGGTGCGTTAAATGCCATTCAAAGGTCTGAAGAAGGTAGAAGATGTCAATATTAACAACTGCAGTAAAGCAGTGGAATACGAACCTTAACTATGGGAGATCCAAGCACAGTAAACCTTTGAATAGTTCCTTAAGGGATAACTGAAAGGAGTTGAGTAAAGGTTAAAAGTCACCAACTTCATCGGAATTATGGTTTTGCAAGTTCATAATTTATTCGGCATCGGCTAAGATGTTCAATTCCTTATTAATGTGTTCAATAAATTAAATCCACTATTCTTGATAAATTCAAAGAATTATTGCATTACTGCTATCCATAAATCTAAGGCTCAATTGGAAGACAGTCGGTTAAGACAGTACCATTAAATATTTAAAAGCGCTTTTTAAAGGCTTTACTAATTTAATATGGCTCAGTGACGATTTTAATATTATGAACGCACTCACGCAGATATTTCTTCCTTACCGAGTGCTGATAACTCGCTTTTTTTGAGTAAAAGAATTCTCAGGTTTGCAAAAATGCTATTACTTCATTCCTAATGTGCTTCAGGAACTTGAATTCAGTTGATTCATAGAAAATATTGCTACTACCTTTTGTGCAAATTTCAATTTATTGTGCATTGAAAATTGGTAAAAATACACTAACAAAGGCTTACCAACAAACGAATTTTCAATTTTCGTAGAAGCAATTGAAAGTCAACGCAGGCCCTCCAAGGTAGAGTAGTATTAAAATCATCCTTTAGTAGAAGTTCTTTAAAATAGTCATAACTATTGAGACATCTTTTTATAAATGCAAACTGTTCCGAGGGAAGGGAAATAAAAGGTGAGGAAGAGAGTATGGTTCGAGTGAGGTTTCGTTGAAATTCAATTGCCATACTATGTAAATGGTCGCAGGGTTGATTGATAACGAAGTTAGATATCTCACTGAGAAAGTGGTAGACCTCCGTCCTGGCTTGTGTCTTTGATATATTAAATAGAAAAATCCGGGCATATTCAGCATATAAAAATGGAAGCTCTAAATTTAATAACAAGTTATGCATATGGGACCTACTTTTAATGCTTCTGATTGCTGATTTTAGGCTTTCAGAAGCTAAAATGAGCAAATTCCTTTCATTGTAGGGTTCGGACATCTTATAAAAATTAATGTAATTGTTTAGATCGTTGCATGCCCTCTGTGCTTTGGCTAAAAGTTTGCATAAAAGACATAGACAAATCACGTAAGTTTTAAAAATATCGAATTGATAAATGTTACTAAAATTTTTTAATAACTGAAAATATTGCGGCTTCTTACGTGGTAAATTTATTTTTGCGTATGATAATTTTATTGATAAAATAATTATGAAGAACCATCTCGGCAGTCGCAAACCTGCTTGCATTTTTTAAATGGGATTTTAAAAGCGCTCGAAGGTCAGTTTGGCGTTGTTCATTTCAGTTAGAACGACCAAATAATCATTAAACAGACAAATAAAATATAAGATATTTATAAAATTTCTATTCGAAATCGGATATTAATTTTATATCTTTAAGTAAACATTGTCAATTCAAGATTAAATATTTTATGTTTTAACTTTTGCTACTGTGTATGTTTAGTTATTTATTCGAAGTGTTTTAGCCCCTTTTCAGGTAAGAGAATATTTTAGGTACTTCTTGTTGAATGTTCGTGGGGAGTTCAATTTATTTTATCTCCTATAAAACATTTCTTCGTAACTCTTTGCACTAACCATCGTTAGTCGATAAATAACTTGCTACACGCAGGAAAATCAATGTAAGTCTGAAATGGCACGCAGACCTTTTATTTTATGAAAAAGGCAACATAGAATTTTTCGCTATTGGCATTTAGATAAAATGGGAATTTTCCAAGATAAAGCCATAAGATGTGAGCATTCAGATATCGTAAGGCAATAACATAGGAAATAGTTTGCTATTTTTAAATAGCAACTGTTCAAGCAATCTATTTCAAGCATTTTCTATCTGGTGGTTCAAACATACAATTTTATTTTGGAATGTGATTAAAAAGTAAATACTAATAATTGATATTAATTGATTTTCTGAAATATATTAATGGAGTTTTCAAAATCGCATTTTAATGAAAGAAATGTTAACGAAATGCGATAGCGAAAGAAATTCTTTGTGGCAATTATAAGATCGATAGAGAATTATTTATTTTCAAACCAACTGCTTAACAGTTGAACTAATTTTAATGAGCAACTTTTTTGTCACGTATTAATAAATAAGCCCAATGTGTTTGATTTCAGAAAAGTGTATGCTCTTATTATCTCAAATCGGAAGATATACAAGTTTAAGGCCCTATCACCTAGTAAATTGCTTAACCAAGTAGAACCTTATAAACAATTTTTATCACGGTAAAAAAATTTTAACTTTTCATGCTATATGGAATCAAATGTATCCATAATGGACAAGTAATCGTACGTAGGGCAAATATACCACAGTTTTGCTCCAGATTTTAGATTTAAACAATGTGGATAGTGACTTATTTGATTGTTGTATTGACAGGGTTTAGATGCTACGTTAAAAAATACCAATAGAATCAACTACATTTTGATCTGTGGATCTATTGGTAATCAAAGTTATCAATAATTGAGCTGATAAAAATTATGTTCATGCCGTTAAAAAATATGACATCTTAAAATGAATTGCATTGAACTAACGTCTTAGTACAATATTGGTGCCAACTTTTGGCAAATATTTCTATTGTAGAGTCTACTGAAATTTTTAGTTTCCAAATTCTGCACTTGTAATTACTGAAAATACATGCGCTGATTTGGTTACTCGTTCCTTCACATTTCCTCAGGATGACTTGTCTGTAACTATGACTCAAAGTTATGCAGTTCGTGGCCCGTGAGTCATCATTTGCTTCAACTAAATTACCTCTGCATGTAATACTGCATTTATACACACTGTAGTCACAGGAAAACGTGGTTTATAAACCAGATTATGTTTTGCGATTGGCAAATATCTTTTAGATTAGAGTGTTGTGGAGAGAGTGGAATAGTGGCCTCCATGAGATTTGTAGCATTCACCTCTCCACTGTCCAATACGGGTTGATGGACATGTTTGGTATTTTCTCTCATTCATCCTTTAAAATTAATAGTTGTCACAACATAGAATTTGACAATTTTCCATAACTGTCGATTTAGTGAAATCTGCCTTTTGCAATGTTCGAAGCATTAAATTATCGAAGTCTGAAGTAATTGGCCTATTGTTTCGTTTGAAGAACAGAGATGTCCTCGCTAGCATAAAAACCATACGCTTTCCTTTTGTAAGCATTCTCTTTCAATTTTGTTCAGCGAAAACTTGAACATTTAACACTTACCCATTAATGATTTTCAGAAGCCAGATAACTGCCCAAAAACCACGTATCAAATCAATTTTACTTAATTTGTCTCCTCATTAACTCAAACTGCGAATTTTAACTAATTTTAAATTCGTCCTTACTTTATTTAAATAAACACGTGTTTTTGACTAGGCAACCCAGCCCCCTTTCAGTTCACTAGGTCAGCTAGTAAATTAGGATGTCCAAGGTGTGGAAATGGTTGACTATCATGTGTTCAACCTTTACAAGGACACGATTTAAAAAGTGGCTATGCACTTTAATTATTTTTGAGATATAAAAATTAAATTTCCGGTAGTTGTCCTGTGTTTAGTTAAAAGGTACTTGCATTTCTTCCTTTCATAGTTCAAATATTTTTTGGGAGAATAATGGCAATATTTACAACTCGATTGAATCCACAGCATCCAGTCACAGGTAAATGTTTATTTCATTTTGAAACTTACTGAATGAAAATGCTATAATATCTACTTTAATTACGGGAAACGATAAACATTGGAAGATAGTAAGTTCACCAGACGATTGAGGGTGGATGTCAAGAAAAAACAAGAGATCCAGGTGCCAAAGTGCTTAACTTCATTTAATTTTGGACTCGAATTGTGCAAAACTTGTAAGATGGGCAATCAACATCCCAAAATTGAAATTTTGTGAAACGTCCCCCCCCCCCCAATTTCTGACAGAGCTTATCGACAGGATACTATTATCCAAGAAGAGTTGGTTTTGCCACTTCGCTTCACTTTTGCTTCCAGTGATTGAAAAGGCAAATGACCTTGCATGATGTAATGCAACTTAGAGTTTGAATATAGCGCAGATGAGATGCCTAAAGTTCAAGTGCTGAAAAGCTCTGTAAGGCTTATTTACTTATGGTTGAAATTGAAGTCCTATTATTAATTTTTTCCAACCCAATGTGTTCGAACTGTTATAGAGAGGATTCGCTTATGACTTGCTTGACGTCTAGGTCACTTTGACCTTGTCATGAACTTGTATGCGTTTTATTTTAGTTATCGTGATGACCAGATCCTTGCCAATTAAAGCGTATAAAAGCACTTTAAACGTATCAAATGTTC